GGNGGGGGGTGGGAGGGGAATGTAAGGAGAGCATAGGAAGAGAGAGACGTGGTGAGGGGGGGAGAGAGAGAGGCAGATGCGGACCGATATCAAGCCGGACCTACCTAGGGCTGAAATATGGGGGATGTGGGGGGGAAAGATACGAACCACGTGAACGAGTGAAGGTGCTGCCAGGGCAAGAGTGTACCAGACGTATAGAACTGACCGAAAGGCGTCCGTGAAGACGGCGACCTCGGGGAGGGGGGTGGTGACGTGCTTGTTGCTGATGTGTGTTATCTGTGTGGCCCACTACACACACAATCACACACCCTCACCACTTGCCTCCCCTTCCCCCACTATACACACAGACGCACAGACACACAGACACACACATAGGCGCGCGCGCGCGCGCACACACCCTCACCTCCTTTTCGTCCACCGCCTGCCTCCTCTGCAGCACCTCCTGCATGATGGCAGGCCCCAGGATGGTGGTGTTGCCGCAGTTGGAGGTGAGGGCGGTGAGGCACCTACGGGGGCTGCCGCGAACCACAGTGCTCACCTGCGAAAGGGGGAAGGGGGCACAAGGCCGGGGGAGCAGCATTACGTAATGCAATATGAAGAAAAACAAGGGCCCCAAGGGGCATTAAAAGGCACTATGGGGCAGAGGCAGGGCCAGAGGGGTGGGGGCGGCAAAGTGGGGTTGTCGTTCGGGGGGGCGTGGAAAGCCGTGGAATGGATTGGCACGGTGGTGACGCGTGGGGATCTTAAAACCCAGGAGTGGGGAATGAAGCGATTGTGCTGGTGTATTGCATGGCAAAAAATCAAAACCCTAAGGCAAAGCACCTGGCAACGCAACGCCCAATGCAACTACACAACCATGCAAGAGCGGTTGGACTAGAATGAAGCGCGTGCGGAGGGGGTGGGTGGGGGAGAGAGAGCACAGGGCGTAGGAGCTAGGAACTAGAAAGGGAAGCAGCTTAGGAGGGCGGTGGGAGGAGGAGAATAATCAGTCAACGAGGACCGAATCGGAGCTTCTATTAAGCTATCAGGAACAGCAGGGGCGCATGTGGCTCATGTACCCTTTCCTCGGTAGGTTCGCACGCACGGCACAAAATCCAGGCAAAAATAGGCAGGCGGGGGGCCCTTCCCCGCCCCCCCCCCAAACTCACATCCAGCCTTTTCACTTACCATGAACTCCCCTCCTACACCCGCCTGTGCATCGCCGGCTGTCTGGGGACGGTGGTAGATGGCGACACCGTTCACCTGCGGGGGGGGTGCGGGGTAAGGCCGTGCGGGGTAAGGCCGTGCGGGGTAAGGCCGTACGAGGTAAGGAAGGAATTCTTATGCAAACCTAGGGGTAGGGAAAGTTAAGGGTTTCAGGATTTACGGCACCCAACCATAATCCGACTCAAATCCATTCCTTCCTCTCCCCTCCCCCCCCCTACCTGTTTGTACGGCACCCAACGCTGCTTAGTGTGGTGCACATCGCCTCTAGACGTGCCCCGAGGCTGCCGGCAACTCATGATGGCGCCACCGCCACCCATCGCGCCGCCAGGGGCCCCCACCATCCCGTCATCCAAATCCTCATAAGGCCCCTCACTGTCGCTGCTACTGGGCGGCAGCGGTACGGATGTGACTGCCCCTGATGGCTTCGAAGGTGCCGCCGCCGCTGCCGCCGCTGCTGCTACTGCCGACGAAGCGGACGGAGCCGCCGCTGCCGGAGGAGGCAGCGGCGGAAGCCCCGCCGCCGACGCGGCCGCCGCCGACGCGACGGCGAAGGAGCTGCCGCGGGTGGTGGAGCTAACCCCCGCCAGCGCCACCGCTGAAACACTCGGAGGAGCGACGGAGGTGGCGGCGGCGCCTACGCCGCTGGTGTCGTACACCAACGCCCGCTTGGCAGCGACTTTTATCATGTGACATATCGCGCACAAGGAAAATGAATGTGAGCTTATTGAGGGTACGGGGGTATGGGAAAAAAGGATGGAGAAATGCATAATACATAAATGCATAATACACATATATATACATATATATAGCAAAAAGCCAGAATCCAGATTTTAACAAACAAAAAGGCTGGCTGGCGAACAAGGAAACGTTAACGATTAACGAACGTTCGCGGCTACGACGATATAAGGACCACCGGCGCTCCAGAACCACATCCGCCTAGACGCCAAAACGGGCCTCCGCCAGCAGGCAGCCATGCACAGCCCCCCCCCCCACGCACCTGTCCCGGATGCCGACTTCCGCCGCGGGGACTCCTCTGGTGTTGAGGCAGCTGAGAGCACCCTGAGACCATTCCCCTGGGCAGTGTACGGCAGGACGAAACACAACACGCGGGAAACACACGTTGGAAGTCAAAGAAAGACGTACATATACATACACACACAAACCCATGAAGGCGTGTGTCTTAATTTAAATTAAACTGATATAAATGAACTGAGAGGTTGAACACGCGCGTGCATATTCGCGCGTGTGCTCTCCCCTGAGGAGCTTGAGGGGGAAAACACACCCGGGTGCAGGGGAACGGGTTTGGGGCCGGCACACGCGGCAGGAGAAGTTCCGTGGCGCGAGGAAAAGGCATGGGGAAGGACGAGGCTGGAATGGGGCACCCAGCGGCCCCCTCCCCCTTCTCTCCTTCCCGCCACATCTTGGCTCGCCTCCTCTTTACCCTGTATTGGGGGATTTGGCGCTGTAGCAGCTACTGCGCCCCCCAATCCTCCCCAATCGCCATCAGGATCCGGAATGCAAATCCGGATCCAAATCCCAGGCGTCGATCCGGATCCGGATCTTGACCCACAAGGCCCCTCCTCTTCCCAAGATGTTCGCTCCATGTTCGCACACTGCCGCACCGCAAGTCCCACCGAGAGCCACTGCACTGTGTTTCCCCGGTAGAGGGGTCGGAGCAGCAGCCCCCGGCCCAACATCCCTCGCCAACAGGACTACCAGCCGTTGATCGCAGCTCTAGATGGAGCAAAACAGCTCCCAATTCGGCATAGGACCTGGCCCGGCCTGGCTCTGGCTCCGGCTCGGTCACCGCGCTGGTAGCGGGCAGCAGCCCGGCCCAGGCCACGTCGCCATAGCAGCGGCAGGCGGCGGACGGCTGCATCGATATGGATAAGGCAGCAGCAGGCCCGGCCATCCGCACCCATTCCCAGGACCGCGCTCTCGGCCTCCTGTGATGGCCTTTTGCTAGGACGGTCAGGCTGTAGGGCTGTAGGCGCTTTACAGCTGATGTAGGGCCACAGCGGGCTCGCGGTTTGTGCCAGCGGGACTTCAACTTTTTAACACGCGAACAGCCCGTGCTGCGCTGAGGTTCGATGTCTCCCTTCCGAGCCCTCCTGATATATCCCCAGTCCTTCTTGGACCACAAACAGCCCAACAGTGCAAGATCTCCCCACAGCGGCCCCGGCCGATCCCCCCCCCCTGCAACGAGGCCAGCCAGCTGCATCCCAAAAGCATCCCCCCTGATACATACATACATACATACACGCACGGCTCTCCAGAAAGGCGCGCAAGCAAAGCCCAGCACACGTTACCGTACCCGACCCGACCCGTTGCGACGTTAACTCAGACGATTTAAACCGATCCGCCTCCTCTATCGCTCCTCTACTGCCTTCAAAGGAACCCCAACCCACCTCGGCTTTTCGACTTAAATCCGCAAACTTCCACCCCCCCTCTGACAGCCACACACACAAACGCCCAGCGCACCTGCGGCCCTCCCGTCGCGGCCTCTGCGGCCACTGCGCTGCGCCCGTCAGCGGAAACAAGACGGGGCTGCTGACCGCCGCCGCCGCCGCCACCGCCACCCTCGCTGCTGCCGCCGTTGCTGTTATTCGTCCCCACCTTCCCATCCCTCGCCGTCGCCGTCGCCTGCACCCTCCCCGTCGACGACGGTGCCGCCGCCGTCGCCGCCGTCGCCGCCGCCACCGCCGCAGCCGACACGGTGACTATAGAGCTACTGGCGCGGCCATAGTTGCTGCTGGTGCTGGCGCCGGCGGAGGCAACAAAAGCGGGTCCATTGCCCAGACTGAGTCGCCCATGGAGATGATGATGATGATGCGGCGCGGATTGCGGCGCGGCACTGGGACCGCTGGCGCTGATGACATTCGCATTGCTGTTGGCGGCGTTGGTGGCGCTGCCGTGGCTGGAGGGATAATTAGCAAGCGTGGACGCCGCTGCTGCGGCGGCGGCGGCCGCGGCAGCCGCGGCCTTCTCCGCGCGGATACCCTCCAGACATTCACACAGCCGCGTGTGCCAGTGCCGGGCGCCTTCCGCGTCCTCGAAGCCGAAGGCGAAGGACGTATATCCCTTGGCAGCCCAACGCGTCGGCCAGGACAGGGTGAACATATACTGGGGGAGGGGACTCGGGGGGATTATATTTGGATTTTTTCCAATATTTGGAAAATTATGCAAAAGTAGGAAACAACAATCAACTTGCCGATTTAGAGGGTAATGCCGGAGGAGGTCATATGGCTGGGGAAGGAAAGGGGTAATCCAGTAATCCAGTCCGTGATCCCCCCAGTGCAACACGCTTGGGTTGGGAAATAGGATGCCCTTAATGGAGAGTAAGATAAGGCCCGAGCAGTCGATCGCGAATACGACTAGGGAAAACAGTAGAGCACGTTGGAAAGTGCTATGTACAGGGAGAGGGGTGGGTCCGCGGGGTGAGCGTCCTCCGGATAAAAGGGACCGGGACCGGGACCGGGACCGGGGCGCGTTTGGTTGGACGAGGCCAGCAGGTAACAGGCCGGAGCGGTGGAGTGGTGGCATGCGGTGTAGAGACAGATGACGAACTGGGTCCTTGGCGGCAGGGCCGGGGGGCCATACTGGTACTGAGAGGAAAGACAAAGGGAAGGAAGAAAGTTCTGGGGAACTAGGAAGGTTGCGACTCGCACGTAGGGACAGGATGGTGTGGGTATCGGAGGGCGGCGGGTTCAAGCGGAAGCTGGTGCGGATGGAACCTTGACCGGGTTGTTGGGGGCCGGGGGAAAGAGGGAAAGAGGGAAGCGAAATCGAAGGTGACCCCGGCTGTGAAAGTCCACGAGATGTGCATGGGTGTGTGCTGAGAGACATCTTGTAAAGACTGTTGGGAGGTAATGATGGTGCCCTGAACAAATGGAGCCAAAATTGTGCTACAAAATCTTTTACCGTGACCCATTGTGCTTTACTGTGTGGAAATGTGCCATTCAGGGAAAATCCTTGGGGTTTGGCGCAAATAGGATGTGCAAGCGGCTGGGGTCTACGGAGGGAGGCGGGGAATGTACCCGGGTATGATACCTATGAAGCCCAGGCGCGTGCATGTGGATGGATGCGAGGTTCCAAGGTTTGCTCATGTGGGGCTGAGACAAGACGTGCGCGCGGAGGTAGGTGGAAGAAGGATCCTGGGAAGGATGGCTCCCTAACGCAACGCCAGTGGCTTGGATCCGGCGCGAATGGGTGCGTGCGCATGATGCGGAATGGGATTATAGGCGGTCTTACCAGGCGAACCCTCTGGCCCCGCGCGCCAATATTCTTCGGCTTTACAAAAGTAGTAATTGCCCACTGCCCGCGAGGTCGCACATATTTAGTGCATGGATCCCTTATCTCTGAAGCATTACGTGGCGACAGTTCACACTGCGATGTAAGGATCCATTGCTTGTTGTCATCCTCGTTCTCTTCTATGTTGTGAAAAGTGATGAACTTGGACCGGAACAACCGCACACGGCGAACGACCACATAGTCACTGCTGGTTGTAGCCTTGTAAACATCGGCATCTTCCAGCGGCACCTCCGCCTCTTCGGGAGTGCCATACTCGGGACTCGCCATGAGCTACGAAAGTCCCAAAGGGCAACGCCTCCACTCTATCGCATCCCAATTCTACAGACTATAAATATCATCGATAAAGTACGGACAGAAAGCGACAAGCGTTCGCCCAGCGCTGAACGACACTTGTTGACAGTAACTGTGGAGCGTTCACGTATAGCAGGTAGATTCAATGGGCAAACGCGGAGACATATTCGTTGGGTCAATCACAGTGGCATAGCAACATAATATTTGCTGTTCCGTTCCTAATTTCCCTAATGTTGTTTTGGTTTCGGCGCGAGGACGCTTGAAAGGAAAGCGTCATATGACCTGTTGGCGAGCTATCACTGCATACAACGCAGGCGCGCTGTAGCGCAGGTTTGCTCTTTTTTGAAACTTCCCTGGCATCTGGGAAACGTAACAATCCCTTCTGCCTTCATCAGGCCTGTTAGGACACGCCGACTCGTGCAGGGCCTCCGTTCAACACATTCATTCCTCAGCTGTCCCTCTGAAAAAGTGCGATGCTAGTGCGGCCCAGCGCCTCTGTCCCTGGTCCGCCTCAGCGAATTGTGTACGGCCCACAGCAGCGGAGCTTTGTCCCCATCTCCAACGGTCAGACTCCCAGTTTTGAATCTGCTTGGCAATATAGTGCAAACAACAAGTTTGCATATAGCGAATTGCAAAAATTTGGTCGTCGCCGCGTCGTGGCCATGTCATTCCTCCGAGAAGCTCTCAAGGGCGCAAAGGTGCGAATGCCGAAACATACCCGTGTCCCCTCCACACCTGCACCACCCTCTCCCGCACAACCCACCGCGGTGCACCCTTTCCTGCCTATGATTATCACAGCAAACCGCGCCCTGCCGCTGCTTCTCGTGACTTCTACTCGTGCCCTATCTGCGCGTGGCCCTCGGTCACGTACATAAATTTCAACATTTTATAAACCATGATCGATTGAAAACGTCGATGACATATATACGTTTTACCGACCAAACATTAATATCGACACCGACCCACAGCTCAACCGTCACAGATTTTCATGGTGTTTATAACTAGCACCAACAAATCATCACCATCACCACAACCATCGACTTCTGAACAACAGTGCTAAACAGCAATTTTACATCAGTATACCGCAAGCATCACCACCGCAAGCTTCACTTCATGCTCTCTGACGGTTTCGGAGCTGACTTGTTATACCGTACAAACCTTCAACCGTCAACCCGGAAGGCACTCTGAAGGTATCCGTACAGCACCACCATTCACGCGCAAACTCAAACCCTGTTCGTGGCCATTCCGGCACAATTTAGGACCTTCATTTTTCCTGCGGATTACAAGTAAGTTGTGTACAATTCCGTAATTGGGTCGCCGTACATGTCGCCGTACATGTCGTACGACACAGGCTGACGTCGTTAGCGCCGGCGATGACTTGCTTCCCCGCCTGGCCCGCGCCGCGAGAGTGGCACGCATCCTTGGATTAGAACTGGCGGCAATTGCGGCGCTTGCCCCGTACGGCGCGTACGCTATGTCCGTATACAGGTAAAGCGCAAAAAGCAAGAAGACGGACTGCGGCCGTGTCAGGGAAGTCTTGTAGCGTACCTGATTTCTGGTAGCCCACAACCAATTTACGGTGGTTCTTGTGCTCGCGCTTTTGCGCTCGGTCGCAGGTAAATGCACGCTTCTGACAAAATCTTCTCCGATGCGGCTCAATCTGATGCGCAAAACAATACTTTGCTTCGTTTCGTCTTTTTTTAGGGCGTTTGGAAGCAAATACATGTTATGTTCATCACCTTTTGTCTCGTGTGTGTAAGGCCCCATGTGTGTTTTTTGCGTACCGATTTGCCAAGCTGTCCATGTGGCACACACACCCCTCCCGCCATGCATGCTTGCACAGGCGCCTGACTACCTTGCCATTACAGCTGTTATCCCCAGCTACTGCTACTGCTGCTACTGCTACTGAATCTACTGCTACTGCTGCTACATCCGAGTCCTCCCAGGAGTTATCCCACCGGCAGCGGCAGCACCAACAACAGCACCAACAACAGCGACAAGTGCACGAGTTCACGGCTGCGCTTTATCAGCTGCCGCCGGGTCGGTACGGCGTTGCCGTACACCGCCAGGTGTCGTACGGTTCTGCGCCGCGCAACACGCTGGATGTGTACGTCCCGCTTTCATGCTTCCGCAGCTCCACTCCTCCTCCTCCTGCTCAGCAGCAGCAGCAGCATGTGGCCCAGCAGCAGCAGCAGCAGCAGCAGCAGGGGGTGGGTTCCCTTCCTGTTGTGTTTTTCGTGCACGGTGGCGTGTGGGCGAGTGGGGAGACGTGGCAGTACGCGCCCATGGCCACCCGACTGGCTCAGGCCGGTATGGTGGTGGTGGTGCCCACATACACACTCTATCCGGAAGCTCTAGCAGGTAATTGGTCCTCTGTGAGTGCGGGGGAGGGAGGGAGGGAGGGAGGATAATTTAGCGATAATCGTTTTATATGAATTATTGATTATAATAATTGAGTTAATAAGGATATTATATTAATTTTAATACAAATAATTGTAACTGCTTATCCCTGATTCTAAATTCCGTGCTTTGCCCAATTTCCCTCTGTATGTTGTTTTACTGCTGTCGTACGTACCCCGTACTGCGATTTCGTTTTCCGTACAGGTACGATGGTTGAGGAGGTTAGTGCCGCCCTCTCCTGGACCTTTGATAACGTGGCCAGGTACGGGGGTGACCCACATCGCGTGACAGCGGCAGGCCACTCCGCGGGGGGGCACCTAGTGGCCTGGGCGCTGTTGAGACGCGCCGCAGCGGCGGAAGCCGCCGCCACCGCCGCCTCCGCCGCCACCGCCGCCACCGCCGCCACCGCCGCCACCGCCTCCGCCACGCCTAATAGCGCTGTGCGGAGTACTACAGGACCAGTCGCGACTGTGCCTGCGGCGGCGCCGGCGGCGTTGCAGTACAAAACTGGAACGAAAAACGGGGGCGCCCTCCGCCAGGAGGAGCGCCACAGAAATCCAGATGCAGCGTTGCCGTACGACAGAGGTCTACATGTACGACAAGATGAGCAGCCTCAAGGTTCGGCGGCGCACGCAGGCGACCCACGGGACACGGCCGTGTACCTTCTGGGTGGCGGCGGCGCATCCCTCCCAGGAGCGTTCCACGCGCTGCGCGCCGTAGCTGACGTACAGCTGCACCCGCAGCCCGGCGTCGACGTGTCGTACGACGGTGATGGCGGTGGTGCGACAGTGGCAGCCGCAGCGGCGGCGGCGGCACCGGCACATGCGGAAGCCGATACGCGCATGCCGGCGATGTTCGTCGGAATGTCAGCTGTGTACGACATTGCCAAGCATTACGAATTTGAAAAGAGCCGTGCCGTACACGAACTTTCGATGATGAAGCGTGCAGTGGGCGGGCCGATGGGCTTCGCCGCCGCCTCGCCAAGCGTTATCCTGGCGAGAGCAGCTGCCGGTACGGCACCGGCGCCGTACGATCAAGACTCCGCTGCTGCTGCTGCCGCCGCCGCCGCCGGCAGCAGCAGCCTTTTCACGTCGTACTTCACGTCTTTTGAGCTCCTTGGCGACGCCATTCCCACGCGCTCGGGGTTGAACGGCCTTGAGGCCGCCGCCGCCGCCGCCGCCGTCGGTTCTCAAACAGCCGCTGCGGCGGCGGCAGCAGCGGCGGAGCGGGGCCCGGTGTTCAACCTGGCGGCGGCGTCGCGGCTGCCACCTTTTGTGGTGATGGGCAGCTGTTCGGATCACATGGTTCCCTGGCACGAGGGCGCGGAGCTGGTGCTGCAGCTGCGCAGGTCGGTACGGTACTGCACCTGGCGGGTTTTAGGGTTTTAGGAGCGTTATCTTAAGGGCCTTGTTTGGAGAACGTGTTAGGTTTTTAGGATGGAAGCCTTGCATGCTTGGGAAATTGGGTTTTGCTTTTGTCGTTGTTGCTGCGGCTGCTGTTGCTCCTGCTGTTGCTGTTGCTGTTGCTGTTGTTTCATCCGACGTATGTAACCCCTGCGGCAGTGCCCTTCGCTGACGTCTTCATATGAACATGATGGCATAGTGACCGTGATGTGTGCCGTGCAGGTGTGGCGTTCCTGTACGGCACCTGCTGTACAACCACGTGGGCCACGGCGATTTCGTCATGGCCTGGAGGCCGCTGAAGGCAGCTGCGGCCATTGCAGCAGCGGCGGCGGCAGCGGCGGCGGCGGGACCGCCACCACCACCATCATCATCATCTTCTTCGGCGATAGCGGCTGCTACAGCTCCCGACATGCACCTGGAAGGGCTACTGCCTTGCGGCAGAGACCTCTTACGCATTGCATTGGGCCGAGTGCAACTAATGGCGGCGACGGCGGCGGCGGCGGCGCCGACGCATCATCTGCCGCCGGGAAGATCATCTGCCGCCGTGTCCGCGGCCGGTGGCGATGGCGAGCTGACGCCATCAGGGGTGACGGCCCCGGGCTTGGGGCTCCAGTTAATGCCGGACGTGGACGAGCAGAGAAGTCCGCAGGCGCTGATAACGGCGGCCCATCAGTCCAAGTTGTGATGACCAAGTCATCATGACCTCCACACAGGCTGCTGCGAGAGGGGAAGGCATTGAGGGTGGTACGAGGTGGTGAGCATTCGGAGCGCGGAAACGAACTGTGGCGGATGCGGCGATGCCTGCTTTTGCTCTCGGTGTACGAGTTCCCGTGTGGCGGATAGGGTGGCGCGGGGGGGGTTGCTTGTTGGGAGGGGTCGGGGTGGGGCGAAATGGCGGAAGACGGGGTAAGAGGTTGGATGAGAAGCGTTTATGGAGCGGTTGGATGAGCGGTTGGATGAGAAGCGTTTATGCGGTCGTTTAGGGAGTACTTTCTCAAGCAGTTAGCGCACCAGAGGGTAACCAGCGGTGAAAGCAACTGGAAGGTGGTGAACGAGTCCGGGGGGGGGAGTTGAGGCATACAGACAGTTTAAACACGGACGCGCACCCAGCCAAAACTGAATGGATCGGGTTGAATTATTTTCTGAAGATGGACATTAGGCAATTACTGATCGGTTGTGTTTTTGCAGGATGGCTTGGGACGGAATGCCAGTGTAGTCATATACTCGGCCATTCCTGGGAAAAGCGTGTCGTCAGGATTTTGATTCGATTCGAACCGCGGTTGGTAGCTTCACGCCAGGGCAGCCTCTTGCGATCACGAACGCTTGCAAAAGCGGCTGGGAAGGGTGACGGCCATAGTGACGGTGGAATACGGGGGGGTGCCCATTGCCGCTGGCCTCCCGAGCTCGGCTCTTACTGACTGGTTGGTTACACGGTTGGTTAGTTCGTTGGTTAAAAGTTGAAACAGGTTGTTACAAGGAACCTTTAACGGCGCTGCCCACTATTTTTTGGAGTGTGGCATGTAGCCGCCTTTTTTCTCCTCGCTCGTGCTTGGTTACAGGTCGTGTGCTTAGTTGGTGTGGGACCCCGAACCGTGTATGCGGCGTCGCAGCAGCTCCACTCTGCCTTTACCAGCTCTTCCCGCACAGCGTCCATGCGGGCGGGCAGGGGTGGGGGGGCCCCCGCCGCTTTCAAAAGTCGAGCTCCATAACGAAGTTCCTAATATAAGTGCGTGATATGGCCCTGACGCGGCTGCCGACCACACCACATACGTTGCCTTTACGGTGCACATGTTATGGCCGCATCGGGCTGCATTTATTCGTCGAGCCTGACCGCATTACGCTGGGAAAGCGAAAGCACACGAATTTCCCGCTTTTCGCCGTCTCAGCTGGTTTAAAAGACAGCAGCTGCAGCAGCAGCAGAGCATTTCACAGAGGTGGTATTTGCTGAGGGTGTTGCTGATGTGATGGGTTTATGTGAACCCAGACAAATTCAGATGAAGACCCGCGGGGCCCCCCCTCCTCTGTATCTGTACATGTGCGGACAACGCTGGAGACTCCTTTTCCCCCGCCCTGGGCCCTTTCGCCACAAACCAGCATGTAAACCGCGCGTAAACAGCGGTCTGGATGGATGCTCTCACATACTCGACTACACTCCCATACTCCTCCTAATACTTTACCACCACCAGCAGTTGCGTAAATACAACTACCTCATTGTCTTGAGGCGCGCGCGTGTCCTGAAAACACAACATACCTAAACCCCCACACCGCCGACACCTCCCACTACACGCGGCGGCCCCAGCCCGCCGCCGCCGCCGCCGCCGCCAGCTCCCCCCGCTCCCACTCCTCCCGCGGTGGCGCTGAGCCGTGTCGCTGCTGAGCTGCCGTGCACGAAGGCACTCCCCATGGCCGCGTGCACGTCCGCCAGCTCCTTCTGAGAGCGCTCCAGCATGGACGCCAAGCCGGCGGCGCTGGGCGGGATGCTGTCGTACATCTTGAGCGCCGCCTCCGCCTCCGCCAGGCTGCACTCCAGGGAATCCACTTCCGACGCCAGGGCCTCCAGAGCCTCGTGGCTCAGCTGCGAGTGTCTCCCCCGCGGGCAAGAGGTCTTTTGGTCGACGATGTGATATGGTGTGTACGAATGGGATTGTCGTACGTGATTGTCAAGGGAGGGAGAAACTGTGCCCTAATGCGATGCGATCTAGATCCGGATGATAGTGAAGTCCTGAAGTGCGGCGAACGACTCTCGGTGTGCGTTGCGTCCTGTGTAATGGGACGGCAGTTCCTTTCCCACCCGCATTCTTGTATATTGTATATTTGTTATATTTGTGCCTTATGTGTAAGAAGAAGGGGGAGAGAGAGAGAGCGAGCGAGCGAGAGAGAGAAAGAGAGAGAAAGAGAGAGGGAGAGAGAGAGAGAGAAAGAGAAAAGGAATATGCTACGTGAAAAACACATAGCCCATCTTCAAGCCCTCCCTAACGCCCTGTAGGTTATCCCGGGGTGCCTCTTCCCCTCCCAGTGAAGCCGCACCCTCCACCACCTCGCACATTCAACAACCCGCCATCCCCCCTCTTTTCCCCAGGCAGCCCCTAACAACACACTACTGCCGCTCACCCCACTCACATCCTGTTTGTACCCCAGCTGCATCAGCTTGTCCCTCGTGACCGCAATCCTCTTTATGTACTCCGCCGCCTTCTGCTCCAGCGTTCGCTGCTCCGCCCCCATGCTCTCCAGCCCCCTCTCGGACCCCAACTGGCCCCTCCGAGCCGCTTCCAGCGCGGCGGTCAGCTCCGCGGCCTGGCGGGTGGCGGCGGTGGCCTGGGTGCGCAGGTCGGAGGCGATAGCCTCGCGCTGGGACTGGTAGGGGCAGGGGAGGAGGGAAGGGGGGAGGGAGGAGGGAAGGGGAGAGGGAGGAGGGAAGGGGGGGAGGAGGGAGGGAGGGGGGGAGGAGGGAGGGGGGGAGGAGGGAGAGGGGGAAAGACGAACCACGGGGGGGGAGGAGGGAGAGGGGGAGGGGGGGAAGACGAACCACATACGATTGAAGCTGCTGCCAGGGCAAGAGAGTAGCAAAGGGGGAGGGGGGAGGGAGGGAAGACGAACCACGAGCGAGTGAAGCTGATGCCAAGGAAAGACTGATGCGGCAGAAGGAAGGGAGGGAGGAGGGAGGGAGGGAGGGGAAGAAAGGGGGAGAAGGGGGCCCCTCATGTTTGAGAATGGGAGGGGTTGTGAGGTTAGCTTTTATGAGATTATAAGAGGGTGGGGTTTGCGGAAGTTGCCTGGTACGACGGCACCGGTGGAGTCTGTGAGTGGCAGGCGGGGTACGAGGGTAAGGTCGCACCTGCGGGGCGAGGACTTTCCGGCGTAGGCGTGTAAGAAGGAAAACACCCACACCCACACACATACACACACACAAAGAGAAGTAGGAAAACACACACACACACACACACACTACCGCTGATCTCATCCTCACCCTACAACCCTTCCCTTGTCTCCAGCTCGCCACGTCCCTTTCATAAACCCCCCTGGTCTCAACCCCCATATTCCAGAAGAACCTTAACCCGAATCATCCACTTCTCTGTGTCCTGAATACACGACGTGTCTGTGTTCGTGGTCGTGTCGATGTCCGTGTTCTTCTCGTCCCCTATGTGCTCCCCCCATCCCAACTTCCCCCATGCCCCGCCCTTTCCCCTCCTTCCCCCCTCCTTCCCGCAAACCCGTACCTGCAACCTCTCCTGCTTCAGCTTATCCGCGTCCTGGGCCACCCAGGCCGCCACAACGGCCGTCTCCGCAGTGGTGGTTAGTCCCAACCAACTGGCAACTGCCGCCAACTGTCTGGCAGCTGCAAGACCCGCGGGGGGCAGGGAGGACATGCCCGAGCTGGCAATCTTGGCCTCGAGCATGGCGGCTGTCAGGAATGGGGGGGGGAGAAGAGGGTGAGGGGTGAGGTGGTAAAAGGGGGACATAGCATGGCAAGAAAAAGGGATATGGAGGGAGGGAAGCGGGAAAGGGAGGAGAGATGCCGGGATGCAGCTTTGGTGCTTTGCAGGGTAGCAAGCAAAGAGGTTGGAGGGGACGAGGACCAGGGCCAGCAGTTGGTACGGCCAGTTACCGCCGTAGCTACGGCACGCTGTACTGCATGCTGCATAAGGGCCACAATCACCCATACCCCCACCTACCCTGTCGCCGGTACTCATCCGTCTGTCGGCGGTAGTCGGCTTGCAGGGTTGCATAGCCCGCAGTCACCTAGGCGAGGAGGAAGGGGTGGCGGGGGGGGGGTTATATGGGTATGTGTGTGTGCGGGGATTGTGTATGTGCGTGTGTGTCGGGGGGGGAAGAGAGGGGTGAGTTAAATGAACGTAAGAAACAGAGAACCAGCTGCTGCTGCTGCTGCTACCGCTGCCGACACCCAACGCCGCAAACTGCCTTCGGGGGAAGTGGAGGGGGGGAGTAAGACGAACCACTGGCGAATGGAGCAGATACCAAAGACGGGGTGGGTGGGGGTGGGGGAAGACGAACCACACACGAGTGAAGCTGGGGGTGGGGGGGAAAGGGGAGAGCAACGCGTGATCTTAGGCACAAGGGAAGAAGAATAACCTTTTGAAATAACGTTTTGCTAGGCAGGATGACGACGAGGATGAGGACGAGGATGAGAGGACGAGGAGCAGAGAACTGCCTTGCCTGACCCGGACACGACCCAAAGCTGAAAACTCCCATTCTGAGTTATTGGCGTTATGAGGGACGGAGAGAAGACAGCGGAGAGTTACACTGAGAGGTTTGGAGAGTTACTGGCACTGTGTTTTGGGCTGGTGACCGTTCCTTTGGGCGCCTTCGTTGTGGTCAGCAGGTCAAACGAGGCAGTACTAGAAATAGGTGTGGAGGGTAGTTGAATTTGAGGGCGACTGATGGGCCGCGGATCGAGGGAGGCGGGTATGTGTTATTGCCGCATGTCGAGCGTGTCGAACGCCGTGTTGAGCTCTTATCAAGACGGCATGCTGCGTAAAAACACCCCCGCGTCCCGCCCGGACCCGCCCAGCGTTGCATGTGCCGCGGGTTGGCACCTGGCTGGGAGGTGGGTGCTTTTTGCGTGCACCATATGAAATCATCTTTGAAGAATACCTGTCGGTGCTCCTCTAAGAGCGCTTGGATTTGGTCCAGCTCAGCGCTCGTTGCGATTGGGAAGCGAGCCAGCTCAGCCCCAAGGCCCGGCCTGGGTGATGCGCGGCGTTATAAGAAACCGGGACAGTTAGCAGGAGGTTTGGAGTTTTCGCGCGGTTCATACGGATGACAACGTGATGGCCCAAAACCAATGCAAAGCGGCGCCCAAGTGTAAGCTATTCAGAAGCGGGCCTTCCTTCGAAACCTTTACCTGATTGCATCAGCTTCGGCCAGCAATTGCTGCTTCCGAAGGTAATCCATGGAAAACCGCGCTTTTTCCCCTTGTTCAAGCACCCAGGTGAGTATCAGCGTCTACATGTTTTGATCTTCAGCATCTTGAAGTATGTGCCAAGAATCGTCAATTTGCAAGGTTTGTTCGGCTGTCAGACGCTGCTAGTTTGAATGCTTTCCTATTAGTCCCTTTCCAGTAGATGTAAAGCACCTGGTTTAACAAGTTATACCTCCATGACCATAAAACGCATTCCATTCGCTCGCTCGCTTGAGGGCTCGACTGCTTGGTTTCGCCGCAAGTCGTTGGTAGTTACTTCTCCAGCTTCCTGGGCCAGTAATCACGGCGGCCAGGAATCTCCAGAGAGTAAGGTACATGACTGCGTGGTGATCACAATGCAGGTCAGGGAAGCCCTGGGACCCTGCGGCTTTCCTCTGCTCGGCCAAATGTCGTAACGTAATTGGAGTGAGGGGGTGACGCAAATAATCCTGTAAGCCACTTTACTTGCTTATCGAAGCAGTACAATGTGGCTTAATTTAATAGCTATTATATTTGTCCATAGGATGGGCCAGCTCAAAAAACGAACCTGTACACATCAGACGTCGCATAGTGACAGCCCCGACGCAAGTTCGTGTCTACCCGAACTCTTCCATTAACCTTGGAATTTTTTTATCAAATGAATCTAACAGCGAGCGCAACGGCTCTGCCCCACTCACAACACATGAGAGGAGCGGTCATCGAGTGGCATGACCTCAATTTCCTGGTCCCAGACCGGTCCACCGGGCAGCAAAAGCGCATCCTCACCAACATGCACGGGCTGGCGCAGCCTGGACGGCTCCTCGTCATTATGGGGCCCTCTGGCGCTGGGAAATCCACCTTGGTAAGGCCCTCGACTCCACCTTTCCTCATCCCATCCCTCTGCTCGTATCATCCTACCGAAACCCCCCTCTATCGCCCATTCCAGGCCCTCTCCCTCCTCCCGCCCTCCCGCTTTCGACAACTCATTGCCGTACTCATATCACGAACCCCTCTCCTCCCCGTCCGTCCCAACCTTGTTCCTCTCCATTTCCATTCAAATACATTTCCCGCCAAAAGTCCTTCCCCCTCTCCCCCTCGCCATCAGCTTCACACTCTCGTGGCTCGTCTTCCCCCTCCCCCTTTCCCCAGTTGGACGTGTTGGCGTGCAACTCCAGCAGTCGCGGTGCCGTGTGTGAGGGGCGGGTGGCGGTGGATGGCAGACCGCGCAATGTACGGACATTCAGGGAAAGCAGCTGCTACGTACAACAGAAAGACGTACTCATGTCCAGTGCTACGGTAGGCTGGTTTGGGGAGAGATTGGGTGTGAGGGGGTTGTGAGGGCGGAGGGGGGGTTACCGAGGGCGGTGTGTGTGTGTGTGTGTGTGTGTGTGTGTGAACGGTGGGGAAAACCTGGACAACGATTGAGGAGCGTTGGGGGGCTGGCGGGACTTTAGATGTTTAGGGTTCTTAGAGCCTTGGAACAGCACAGGAGCGTCTTGCGGACTCCGTGCGTGTGAGTTCAGTGCTGTTCTGGGACCTTCTAGGGACCTGGTGGGGGCGGAGGGGGGGGACGACCTTCACACTCAGTAGTGGAGTTGGGGGGCGTGCCAAATGTGTTTTTATATGCCAGCAGACTGCCGTACACGCACGTGTGTGTTTTCAAGTTCTCCTCCCCTCCGTTCCGTTCCTCTTGCTCCGTAATGCTTCTAATTTGCATACCCTCCCCCTCCCCCTCCCCCTCCCGCTCCCGCTCCTCCCCCATTCCCCCGGGGTTTGCGGGTTATCCCACCCCCTGACCCAGGTTCGCGAGGTGCTGCTCACCTCGACCCTGTTGAAGCTGCCTCTCAGTGTGCCGCTGAGCCAGACACGGCAGCTCGTGGAGG